TTTTTTTCCCCCCCCCCCCCCCCGTCGGCTTGTCCGATGCTCTACGAAATACTAGAACGCCTGAACGACCCTATTTCTGTCCTTCACCCACCAGAAAGGCATGAAAGAGTAAGCTGAGTTCAGCTCGACTTGTGTCTCCTCCGCTCACTCACTCCTCCGAACGCGTGGTCGCACACCGTATAGTCTACTCGTACTCCCAGCGCTGTCATTGTCCCTATACCTTCGGGAACTGCACGACCATTTCAAGCCCAGAACGAGTCATTTTCATCATCCTCTTCCCCACAAAAGCGAAACACGGAGGCGTGTGAAACAAAGTAAACACTGACGGCAGTCGACACTGACGGGAGACGTTTCGCAGACATTCTGCTAGCGTACACCAGCACAACCCTAACGACCGCCCGCCCGCCTCTGCAATCAAATCTAAAAATGTACAACGTAGACACGAGACCCACGGCGAGACCGTCAGTCGCCCGACCGGCAACGTCGCCCAAAATATCGACACGAGCGATGACGATATATCCCGACCGTCGAGGTTGACTTGGTCGTCCTGTTGGAGTTGTCATGACTGTTGCACCTATTTAATGTCACCGCTGGCTGCAACTTTCCAGCCGCGATGGTTCCAACCTCAGGAATATACACGCACAAACTCGACGACGCGCCAGCACGTCATCATGCCAAGAATAATCTGGTTTCGGTTTCGGCCCAATAACTGGAATCCACAGACCCGAAGATTCACGCCCAATCCACTTGTCCCTCTCGATCCTGAAATTCTGGCAGACATTCCCGCACCTCTGAAAATGGGCACAGACGTGACCGAAGCGCAAAACTATCCTTCCACCCTCGCTTTTGAATCATAGGGTACCGGGTATAGGTTCAAGTGACTCCCTTCGCCCCCGCACTCGAGAATACCAAGAAGGTGTTCTAGGTAGTCTCGGCCGGCAAGTTGAGGCAGACCAACCACCGCAACTCCAATGGCACTAGTAGGTAATCCAAGTAAAGAGTGAAAAACTCTGCCTCTCCATCTTCAATGCCGATGCCACCACCCGAACTGTGTGCAAACGCCAAGACACCACCCTCTTGGCCAACGAAACGAATCGCGTCATGCCTGTCTGTGATGACTAGCTGGGGCCTCGTCCAAGCACTGGCGGGGCGTCGATCTCACCGAATTCAGGAGAGCGGAAGGTGATCGCCGAGCAAGGGGCCAACCGGGGACGCAAGGCGCAGTGTGGAAGCCCCTCAAACTACCTCGCCCTTCCCCAGAACATTGGATAGGGAAAAAGAGGGCGGGCGCGAGGGTAGAACGAAGGCGGTTCGCTGAAACACCTAGACTAAAGCCAAATGATCTTCCTCTTCGGTTTCTCGACCTTCTCTTGCTCCTCATCCTCGTCTTCTTCCTCCTCATTGGCGCCCCCCACCGAGCCATCGCTGTCGTCGTCGTCGAAGTCTTCGTTCGACTCCTCCTCTGACGAGCTCTCGACAGGGCGCCGGGGTACCGCCTTGCGGGCCCTCTTGATTCCACCCCCGCCACGGGTTCCGGTTCGGCCACCCCGGGCGGAGCGGCTCCTGCCCGAGGCCGCGCTCGAATACGAAGATGAAGCTGAAGTCCTCCGACCGCTTGATGGGACGCGGACGAAGCCTTCGCCGGCCCGCGGTGCACCGTGCTTGTCGCAGTGAGTCGGGTGCTCGCCGTCCACCCCCCACCTCGCAACTGCAATGCATCCCTTCACACCAGCTACCTTGCACTGTCGATTGAAGTTGATCGCGAACCCTTCCGTGAGGTCGCCTTTGTGTTTCGCGCATACACTAGCCGTCACGTCCGCCCAGTACCCCCAACTCGGTCGACTTGTGCACCCTTCACCGTGGGCGCAGTGCTTGTGCCATACGTCCACCATGGACTCCTCGGCATGTTGCCTGCAGAACATCGGCATCTTGTTGCCTTGTTTGTTGAACGTGGCTCGCCGTGTACATCCGGCTTGGGCGCAGTGCTTGTGCCATACGTCCACCATGGACTCCTCGGCATGTTGCCTGCAGAACATCGGCATCTTGTTGCCTTGTTTGTTGAACGTGGCTCGCCGTGTACATCCGGCTTGGGCGCAGTGCTTGTGCCATACGTCCACCATGGACTCCTCGGCATGTTGCCTGCAGAACATCGGCATCTTGTTGCCTTGTTTGTTGAACGTGGCTCGCCGTGTACATCCGGCTTGAGCGCAGCGCTTGTTCCTTACGTCCACCATGGACTCCTCGGCATGTTGCCTGCAAAACATCGCCGTCTTGCTGCCCTCGGCATTGAAGGAGGGCTGTCGGGTGCATTGCGGGGCCTTACACTCGGACATTGGTGCCGGAGGGCGACGTGACCCCGGAAGCAATAGGTTGCCTCGAAAGACGCTGGTGCAAGCCTTGAAACCCCTGGACATTTCAAGAGTGCGAGGGAAAAGGTGTTGGTCACAAGGATCGAGTCCGCTTGTTGTTGCTTATGGTCGGGAAAGGGCGAGGTCCGGATGCCATCCTCTAGAGTGTATACCAGACCACGGGCGATCAGTCGGTAAGTTGAGGTCAATGCCATCCCAATATTCGCAACGTTAGCGGACATCGACTGCAATAGATATTTTTTCCCTAGACTAGACTATACGAAACAGGGCAGTAGTCTGGACATATTCTAACTCTCTCTGACGTCCAACCACTACAGTACGCACAAGGCACCTTCACTTCATCTTCCGGGCCCGCGGGAAGCGAACGCTTGTTTCTCCGGGACGGCAAGCTGGGAATGCCCGGCGCCCGGAGGTAGTGAACACAGTGACGCTAAGTAGAGCACCGCGGTGCTCGGGTATTGTTTTGGAGTGGTCATTTGCAAACGGTTCAACAGTTTCGAGACGGCCGATTGGTGGTAGTCTCGGGGGCGCGGGACTCTCCGCCCAATGGTCGAACACATTCCAACACCAGAACGAGCGGATACGTTCCTACCCCAGAGGCGTCTGGAACACTGGGTTCATCTACAACCGCTGTATGGCAGGGAGGTGACACGCCCCAAACCAAATAGTACAAGCCCATGCCGGCGAAAACCATTGGCCACGCTACCGCCTCAAAATATTTCCTCGCTAGGGTTATGAAATATACTTTGAGCCAGACGCCGTACACAATACCGTTCCGGGCGTTCACTCCCCGTTCCAAAAGGAGACATGTCAACCGCACACACTGCACTCACCCACGGACATGCTTGTCTAGAAAATTTTATGTGTCTACCACTTCTCAGTGTCGCACCACGAGAGTGTTGGCAAAACTTGCGACTTTGCATACCCTTCCCCAGATGACACGAAACGGCTTGCTGTTTCGGGAAGAGTACATCGGTCCAGCTAGTAGTATGTTTGTTGGGCTTGGTTGCTAAATATTCGACCTGTGACTGCTTCGGGCGTCGTGGGACAATCTCCCTGGGAGAGAGGAAGAGGGGAGAGTGAAATCGCTGCGCGCAGGGCAGAAGCCTATGGTTATGTCAACCATGTGTCCCGCGAAAGTCGAGGGACAAACGCGTCGGAAATGAAATAGTGGTGGCGATTATTGTTGCACTTTCCTTCAAACCACTGTATGACACTACAGTAATACTCATCATGGGCTGCTCTGTTCAGATACGTCTTTGCTATTGAGATTTCACTGCCGCCGATGAACGCGTGGGATCCATGTCACACTGCGAAATAGGAATGTTGTCATTCTTGTTCTATGTAGCAAAGAGTACACTGTATGGCATGTATGGTAGGTCCAACAGCACCTCAGCAGTCTCATTGTAGAGGGGAAACCTGCAGCAATAGCTTGTTCGGGAGAGAAGGAGACGAAATCTTCTCGGATTCAGCAACAAAAGCTGTAGACTACTGAAGAAATTTCCCAAAAAACAACGACTGATTCATCATTTGCAGCAAGTCATTTTGTGAAGAGGGTCGTCAGTCGTTAGCGTGAGGTCAGTGTTTATTGGTAAAGTAATTAATCTATGGCGCGGAAATCAGTAGCTTGCATGGTTTGGACCCGTAGACAAGTCGGCGAGGGAATGACCACCCGAGTAGTTTCCTATCCTCAAAGCAGTAGGTGTGAAGATGATTATTGCAAAGAGAGTACTGGCACAAAATGTTCTTGTGAACATTGCTGCTCTGATCCAATTTGCTGCAGTGCAGGCAGTCGGAAATCGTGAAGTGTATTGGAGGGATGATGCTTGGGGCGGCGAGCGTACAAGTGCATCTATGGTTTGCAGATACGGTGTGACTTGACAAACCACCGTGAAGGGAGACTGGACGGTGCTGGACAAGGGGTTGACGCATCATGCTGTTCAGAGTCAAACAAGGGTCCAAATTATGGCTCAATCTCTCTGCTACCACCTACATACAGTATGCAGTAGTAGGTGGGAAGTCCGCTCACAGACACCCGGCATCGTGAACGAGATGTTTTTACCACAGCACACCTCTATGGTCTCTACTCATGTGGAAGCTCTTCCTGTGTATACGGATAATGTGTGAAGATATCCACACATCGGGTAGTCAGCAACGAGTAGGAGCCTTCCGGTCCAAATCACCTGCTGACAGCTGCGTCACGAGGAGAAAGCAGCAGCAGCGACAAAGCAGTGCGGCACGTGTAGATCGCGGGATGACGCTGCAGGAGGGTGTGTGTCGTGGAGTGCTCTTAACAACCGCCACGAGAACTGGCAGAGGAAGCAATGGGGTGGTGTCGAGTTCGGTTCTTGATGCGCGGGCGGTTTGGAGGTTGTGTGATACCAAACACCGCGTGGGAAATATGGGGCTTCGCAGATTCAAATATTTGGCGCTGGTGGAGAGGACAATCGAGATGAAGCCCTTGAAGAAAAGAATACTGGAGATGAAATTCAAGTGCCGTGCTAGATATATTCAGCAAAGAGACGGGCTTGGCGTCCTTCTCAATAATATGAGGGTGTCGGTGCCAGATAGGCGCCAGTCACAAAGAGTGAGCGCCGCAGAGCCCTTGTGTAGTCTAGACAACCAGCTGTCCTTTCCAAGAGAGGGGACAAAAAATCATCACATTCAGCGAGACCGTAAGAAATGAATCTCCTGAAATGACGATTTCATCATTGTTCAGCAAGTCATTATCACCTTCTGCAAGTGGTCTACACCCGTGAGTTCGGTGTTCCTGATTTCCAACCATTCATTGTTTCACGAACTAATCACCTCTGTACATTGCGTAACTCCTCACGAATAGACAGGCGAACGCCCTGGGGGCTGACGTGTTGTCTCAGAGTGTGTAGCATGCTTGTTGGAGAACATCGGGAGCGACAGCAAGACCAGAATAGTGTGGTGAAGATGGATAAGTTGGGTCGTGAAAATGGTTTGCCAGCTGTGTGTTGTGGAGGTGCTATGAAACCACATTCGTCCCTCTCGACTTCTTTGGGGCGAAGAGACGGTTGTGAAAGCGAGCGCATGTGTAGTTTGTTTCATATATCTATATATGTAGATCTGGTTTGCCGTCCCGCACCAACGCCGAAGCCAATTGTGACGGACAAGGCATATCATCGCAAATGAAAGGGGCGTGACCCACGGAGAGTCAAAACGTGCGGCTCAACCTCTTGGCGCCTTGAGGAGCCGTTCGGACAATCCCAACGTCTAGCGAGAGTACAAAAAGGCCATAATACTTTACATCAATGCCCATGGCTGTGTAGGGTGATACGTACATGAGTATTGCTGTCTTCACGGGTCACGGGCGAAGACACGCAAGGGACATGGCTTTGGAATTGCATCTATGTACATAGGTATCAGTGGAGCTCTTACCCGAGTTCACAAATTCCAAGGGTTAGATTGTATAAAGCAAATGTTGATGAGGGAGTTCCTACGCGCTCACGTCTGACCGACGGAGGCAATGAGTTGATGACGGAATATTTGAGGTCAACATAATCCAAGTCTCCGCAGCGTTCCCGGAAATCTACGAATGGAATGCGGTTCAAACAAACACTGTCTGACGGGAAACCACTCCGCAGGATTGCCACAAGACACTTTCATTTCATCATCAGGGCCTACGCCAGATGACCCGTTTCTGCAAAGAGACCAACATCGAATGCCTGGGGTCGTACATATGACATGTAGACAGGTTCAGTGACGCCACGTGGAGTAGCATGGCCGTACATTGTAGGGTTTACTCGGCGAATGCCCGTGAACGCCAATAGTTGCTGTTTAGAGACTGCCTGGAATGATCCAATCCTCACTGTTCCCTGGACCACCATCTGTTTATGTGGTGGCGTTCCTTGCTCGTCTTTCGAACAACTGTAGGACGATACGATGCATATACTCTTTAGGAATTGCCGTACTGTTGAAAGGCGGTTGTCCTATCAGCACAATTGAGTATGTTTATCAGATTTTCCGATGATTTGCACCCACAAATGATGGCCTGACATGTTTCAATCGCGAAATCGTTTGAAATGTTTAGTGACGTTCGCACTGACGCGTGTCGTGGTTTCTCACCAACTTTCTCACTACTCCTCGTCGCCCCGACCATGATAAATTTAGTGGCTATGTACACAGCAAGAGGACCAGTATAGGTCACCAAGACGGCCATGTAGGACGCAAAGTATGTTCAAAGTCCTGTAGAAGGTGCACAAACGTGCAACGGCGTCTGACAGCAAGATTCGGGGAGGAAGCGCGTGACCGGTCTCCAAGTCACCTGGTCCTTGCGCCTAGACGACAATCTGTCGGTGTACCTGACGTGACCAGATTTCCTCAAGGGCTGACAAAGCGAGGGGTTAAGGGAATTTAGGAATGTACAACATCGCCTGTGGAGAATGCACTCGATCTGGCATAGTGAGTGAATTTCCCGTAAATCACGTCTCAATATTTTTCCGCAAAACATCGTTAAGGCGACCTCCCACGCAACTGTGAGTATTGCGAGCTACCGCCCACGGCTTCACTCCTTCAAACTTGGCCTCAGCTGGCATTACACGGTAAGCGGGTGCTGGGCGCGGCTTCCACACTGCTGTGTGTTGTTGCCACGCTTTTTCTCACAACCACCGGGTTGCTAGTCATTTGGTCTCACCACCCACGAGAATCTAGACTTAGCCTCTTCTCTGCTTCCTCTTCTGTAGAGATGCTGGCTTGTGATGCTTTAGCGAAGCGCCCGCGGGACTGGGATCTTGCAAAGGATACGCGCCTCGGAGGCCATCGCCATGTTTTGGGTGATTTTTCGTACGTTCGCCGCCCCTCGAAATCTATTTTGTCCGCATCGGCGGTCCATGAAGTGATTTCTGTGGCGGACACCCTCTGCAGCGTCCTGAGTNGGTCTCACCACCCACGAGAATCTAGACTTAGCCTCTTCTCTGCTTCCTCTTCTGTAGAGATGCTGGCTTGTGATGCTTTAGCGAAGCGCCCGCGGGACTGGGATCTTGCAAAGGATACGCGCCTCGGAGGCCATCGCCATGTTTTGGGTGATTTTTCGTACGTTCGCCGCCCCTCGAAATCTATTTTGTCCGCATCGGCGGTCCATGAAGTGATTTCTGTGGCGGACACCCTCTGCAGCGTCCTGAGTTGCTGGTCTTGTGTAGTGGGACCCGAGATGACAGCATGCTTCCCACGTCTGCTACCACCTCTACTGCATTCATGCCGGCGTACCGGCCGATGTCCGCGGATTTTCCTGCGTGCTCTCCGATTTGACTCCGTTTGCATCGGCTTGGAACGCGTTGTGTGCACACAAATTGGGTGTCAGCCGCCCCACCTTCCCTCCATTTTTCGAAATCACATGGCACTGTTCGGGGAATCGTTCACCCTCAAAGCCTTTGAATTGGAAACCTTTCAACGGCGCAAACCCACAGCGGTCTTTGCTCGCACTTCGGCACCACTTGCGGAGGAACTCCGTGCTGCTCTGCGTGTCTTTTGGTAGGAAAACCTCTTGTCTCCATGCATCACGGGCCCTTTCGTGCTAGCTTCTACTGCGGCTACCCCTTCTTGCATGACGCACTTGCAAATAACAACCAGCACGACTCAAACGCCTCCAGAACCACACAACCAGAAACCCATTTTCAAACTCAAAACAGAAGCGAAACAACACAGCACATAACCACCGCCGACAGGCCGCACAGCACGCGCAACACAGCAGACCACACTGCAGACATGTCCCTGAAAAGGACGATACGTGACGACGAGCATTCAGTTGTCGCCGTAGAGGTAGAGGGCGGCGACGCGTGCATGGCAACGTGGCAGCGGCGGCGGACTGAAGGTACCTCGTGCAATAGAGAGGTGCCGGGGGGGGGAGGACAACAATGGCTCAATCCAGAGACTCCGGTGGGGTACGGGAGGTGATACCGGGGTTGGCGTAGGTCGTCTCCCACCATCTCCCATGGTATCATGGTCACTGAAAAATATATGGCATTGTTCACTTCTTGATTGTGATCCTCCATGGCGCTAGCGCTCCACAGCCACGAAGAGGCTACCGAGAATGTTGGACTGCGAAGCGGGTGACAATTTTTGTGGATGCCATTTTGTTGAATACATTCACTCTTTCTTTTAGTGTGGGGGGTAGGGGCTATCTAGACCAGAGTTGCTTGTTCTTTTCAATAGATCGATTCTATCATGATATCAATGACATGGAACTGTATATGACATTGTTCACGTGTTGATTGTGATCCTCCATGGCGCTAGCGCTCCACCAGCACGAAGAGGCTACGGAAAATGCGAGCTGCGGGGCGGGTGACTTTGTCTGGATGCCATTTTCGTGAATATATTCATTCTTTTTGGGGGGGTAAAAGCTAGACTAGAGATGGTTGTGGTTTTCATTTTACCGCAGATGCATCTCGTCTCCGTTCTGTTGGGTGTCGGTACGAAATCTTTCGGTCACTCGCGGCACTTGAGCATGATTGAAATAGGATCGACCCGGATCGAAGCTCTCCGTTCCAAAGTAAGCACGACCTCATCAGCCTGAGGGGCGATTCTTTGAGATGAAAACGACTGAATACCGTTGGTGGCAGCTTGGGCGGGACGAAAAGGGAGGGAGCTTCATGTGCACTGAGTGAAAGTGAAGCTGATCTGTTTCATCAGACCCCTTAAAGAACATGGAAGTGGTCGTTGGGGGAAAACACAAAATGATACTCTCTCCTGAACCCGGCCAAACATCGGGTTTACACATGAAACGGCCCATGCTCGCCTCCGCATGACACATAAGTGGGCAACACCCCATGAAAATTGGACCACAAGGAGGTCAGAAGAGTCCGAAGGCTAAACACCCCTGTTCGTGTTTGGCATTCCGTTCCTTGTTACTGACGTCATTTCATTACACGCTCATCGGGCTGTTGACACCGGAATACAGAGAATGCACACTCAGTCGCTCCTGCACACACTTATCTCACATAATTCACTCGACGAAACTTTTTCACTTGCGCACTCATTTCATTGAGCTCTCGTACTTCCCTCGATTCACTAAGGTTCATTTCACGCAGCTTAATTCGCTCACTCAGCCAAGCCAACTTACGGTGAACTCGATGAAGCCATGATGACAAAGATACGGACGGCTATGCAACAGGTTTCGTCGTGTATTGGCCGCCTTACAGCTGCAATGAGCAACCGGTGCGTGCCAAATGAAGCCAACATTGGTACTTTCTATTTTACTTCCTATTTATTGATACAAAACAATTGTACAAATGTTTCAATAATATCTGTTTCATTTTTCTCCTAAGAAAATAGCTACCAGCATGGTTGGTTACACAATGATCGCAATATCATCAGAAATGTACTGTCTGCATTACAAATGCATCTATCTGTAAGAAAACATTCACTCGCTAAAATTCGAAACAGCAACTGTTTCTTCTTTTTCTACGCCTGTCGCCATAGGCCTCGATCCAAAACGATATCCAACTCCTCGGCGTTTTCGTCACCTGATGCTCCTTTCGCGGAAATAATGGCCGTCGACACGCGCTAAAGGGGTCATTCCACGTGGCTAAGCAGCAATGACCAGGACACCTACCGGCGAGAGAAACGTCATCTCCGCTTACGACATGGCATGGACTATTTTTCATTGCTTTTCCCACAAGGCAGGGCATCCGGCTGCACGTTGCCATGCAAAGCACAACTGAGAATAAAATCACAGGGAAACACAGTTGTTGGTACGGGAACCCCGATTTCAAAAGTTGCTCCTTTGGTGAACGAATTCCTCATCGTCGTATTCAGCCGCAACGAGGATCAACGACTCACCTTTCACGCACATAATCAAGACAACCAAGACAAGTATCGCACTTCATTACACCACTCACAAGTTGGCGGTGTCACGGATACCAAGATCCCTCGGGACTACTGTACATCTGCACCAACAGACAAAGTTATCATTCCGTCCAGCTTTAGCCGTGGCAGAACGGGCGAACAACCTCACGAAAGAAGCGATGGCCATCTCACGAGTGCTGCATCAGCACAAAACAAACATGTTTACACAATGAAACCTTGATTGGTTGATGAACGTTTACATTATATTCCACATCCGTCCAACCCTGAGAGGCCACAACCGGGTCGCCCAGAGCTCGCCGGCGTCATCGATAACTACCATACGTTGGGCACGACCATACCGGCATTTTCACTCCCATCTAGTCTTTATAACAGACTTCAACCACCAACAACTTCAGCACTTCATCGTTCCCGCTCGCAGCACCAGCTGCGAAGATTCCATCCCCCCACTCGCCGCACGCACCCCTGTCACACTCGCCCCTATCCCCGAATTCTTCTCATTCGCCATCCCATGGGTTAGACCTCTCCAAGAGCACCTCTAATACTTCCATGCCCCCCAGCGCAGCAGTACATACATGCAGGAACGGACCCCAGCACGCACCAGTACCATCTCCACACATAATGACAGACAACGTAAACTCCATACAATCAACATACAGACATACTCCGTAAATATACCTCCTGTCAAACCAAATATCCTGCTGTCTGAACGTTTATTTTGGTGAGCCATGATGTGTAGTCTATAGACTATCTATGTAGACTAATCCCCCTGTCAAAACAAATATATATCCTGTCTGAACGTTTATTTTGATGAACCATGATCAAAATAAGATCTCACAGTTTCGTCGGGAGCGTCTCCTTCTCCTCCTCCTGCGGTCTCTCCTTCTTCTCCCTGCTGCTGCTGCTGCTGCTCCTCCTCCTCCTCCTGCCCCTCCTGCCGTTGTTCTCCGGCTGGGCTTGATCGCATGCACGCGTCGCCGCCCTCTACCTCTACGGCGACAACTGAATGCTCGTCGTCACGTATCGTCCTTTTCAGGGACATGTCTGCAGTGTGGTCTGCTGTGTTGCGCGTGCTGTGCGGCCTGTCGGCGGTGGTTATGTGCTGTGTTGTTTCGCTTCTGTTTTGAGTTTGAAAATGGGTTTCTGGTTGTGTGGTACTGGAGGCGTTTGAGTCGTGCTGGTTGTTATTTGCAAGTGCGTCATGCAAATAGGGGTAGCCCTTCTACTGTTTGTGCGTGGCATGGTGTTTTTGGACGCTTTTTCTGCTTGGTTGGATCCACTTAAACCTCGTGTGCACCAAGCTTTATCACTTGGGGTATGCTATCCTGTGCATATCTCCGCCTTTTGCATGGACCTCGGCTTGCTTTTGCCGAAGTTGCACCCGGCTTTACTGCTTCTGCTGCTCTTGGTGCTGCTGCCTCTGCGGTTGGTTATCCTACACCTTCTGNTCTCTGGCCCTGTTCTTGTTAACAAAGAGGACACCATGTCCAGCGGCAATGTGGAACTCCTGGGCGACAATGTGGAAATCCTGGATTACGAACCCGAGGGCGAGGCTCCCACCGCAGAGGAGTTTCCAGCGGCCGGTGCAGGAGACTAGAGCCCCCCCATGCCATTCCCCCCTCCCCTGTGTTTACCATCGGCGTTGGGTTTTCGTTGCTTGGCAACGACGTTGTGAAACAAGCCGCCCCCCCCGATGGGATTGGGTTTTCGTCGCTTGGCAACGACGCTGTAAAACAAGCCAATTCACTGCCTGGTCCGGTGAGAACCCGGCGTGCTCCGTCCCGGCTTTGTAGGGATGCGAGGTCAATGGTCTAACGACTACGGCATGCACGACTATGAGTACACCCCACCCCCCATGCCCATTGTGTTCACCGTCGACAATTTGCTGGACAACATCGCCACAGCAGATCCGGCGGAACTGGAGCGGGCCTACAACACCGGACGTGTCTCTCTGGAGGATGTTGTAGAAGCACCCCATCTGTCGTCCGATTCCCCCCTTTTCGTTCCTCCTTTCTCGCTCCCGCCGGAAGACAAATTAATCCTCTTGCCCCACGACGAGTTTATGGCGTACCAAAGGTTGGACGAGATGTGGTGCGACGGTCTTGCCGGGAAGATAGCAGAGGCGGAGGCGCGAAAGCAGGAGGAGCGCGAGGACGCGGAGCGCCTGGCAGAACGTGAGGCTGCTCTGGCTGCTGCGGCGAGGAAGCAGGAGGAGGAGCGTGAGGCTGTTGAGGCTGCTGCGGCGAGGAAGCAGAAGGAGGAACGTGAGGCTGCTCTGGCTGCTTCGCCGAGGAAGCAGGAGGAGAAGAGTGAAGCTGTTCTGGCGGAGCGTGGGGCGTATCTCCAAGCGACTAGGGCGAAGCAGGGGCGCTCCGATCGCGGCTGTGGGACCTGGAGCCCCGCCACCAGGACCCGCGAGCAGCCCCCCACCCCCGTCGCCGTGTCATCGTCCCCCCCCCACGCCCTTCCAGGTGCCCCTTGGTTCCCATCGTACCGCCTCGCCGCACGAGGAGCGGGAGGTGGCGGCTTCTCCGACGAACGAGAAGGAGCGGGAGAGGACAGCGACTCCGCAGTTTTCGGTGACGTTGGGTCTTCCGGCCGGTGCTGAAGACGGAGCATCGTTTGAGGCGGCAACCACGGTGTACGAGTTCCACGTTGGAGATACATCGTTCCTGTCCCGCCCGCTGGAGATGCCTGCAGAAGATGCAGCGTTCCACGATGAGAACAAATTGGCAGCTCTTTTTGCATGGGCTGGCATCAAACAACTTGTCCGTGCACAATTCCCCCCGCCGCACACCGTTGCTTTCGGGCACAACTATCACATTCTATAAATCGCGGAACTTCCGCCTACTTCGCGGCAGTCCGTGTTCCAGCTTTTGTTCGCTCTCCGTCGTGCCACCTTTCATTAAGGTCCTCAATGAACGTCCGTGGTGACACCAGATGGAGGACTCCAGCTGCCCCTTGCTCGTGCTGCCTCGAACAACGACTTCAAGCACGATCTACAAGCCCCCCGGCAGCCCTCTTCACGCCCTGCTCATGGTTCTGGAGAGGACAAGGACGACGGTCGGTCGGCGGCTCCTGCGTCAAAGAGCTGGAAGAACCGTTGGGGTGACCAAGGTTCGACGGCCAAGAGCGGGACGGACGACCACCGCCGCTCCACCCAGTTTTTGCGAGGGCGCGGCGTCGGAGATAACAGGCAAGGGCGAGTCGTGGGAAACCAGCGTACCAGGTCTTCGCCGGCGAGTCGCCATCGCCGGAGCAGGAGTCGGAACGCAGAACGTCAACAACGCACCAATCCTTCGTCTAGGCGTGGGCGCAGCCGGACCGGAGACCGTCGTGGGAGAAACACGCCTCCGTCTAGGCGTAGCCGCAGCCGGAGCCACAACCGGATCGGGGGCAACAGCAGGGCGACCAGCACTGACAGCAGTCGCGGCGGAAAAGGGGGACGGAGGTCAGGCCATGGTAACAGGCACGTGATGTATGATCGAGGTGATTTTCGTGGCTCTGGGTTGTTGGGGGAAAGCAAGGATGCTTCAGAAGACGGTTCTCTCTGTTGTTCACCGCTTGTTCTACGCCCTGCCGCTGATGTAGGCCAACAGACCAGGTCTTCTTTGGCTTTCAAACTTACCGACATGCAACTTCGTGAACATTCAGCCGCTGTGAAAAGCCATGACCCTGCCCATGCCGTTATGGATCATCCCACATCTTCCTTGCCTTTGAACGAACGTGTTGAGTCACCACGCCATGCTGCATCACACGCCTCGACTTCGGCTTCCCGTACTGAAATGCTGTTGGAACAAGTACTCACTCTCCTGCGAGCAAATCAAGGAGTGGATGCTGCTGCCGACGCGAATGTACAACCTCCTGTGCCCCCCCACGCTCCTAGCGTGCCACCACCTGCACCATCTTCTTCCCCACCAACGCATCTGACACCGCTGCAAGACCACGCTTCGAGCTATTCGGGAGCTCCCGTAGGGCGCGATAGTCGTGCCAAAACCGCTGCCAGGGCTACGTCAGGATCATCGTCATCAGCCACGAGGTCGGCGACAGTACCGGTCGGGCCTGCGGTGGCACCGTCAGCGTCGACAGCCCCAGCCCTGTTGCAACAGCCTTTGGTGGTAGCGTGCGTCTGTTCTGATTGATCCTAACTCTGCAACCGGCCACATCGTCGAGCCACCGGGTCAAGCGGCATCACCGTTGCCACAGGACGATGCTGGTTTGCCTTTGTCTTCCTCGGGAGCGAGAGCGAGGCAGGAGGCTCTGAACGCTGCGGACGCCGCGGCAGCGGAGGCCGACACCATCCGCATTCAAGACAAGATGGACAAGCTGAAGCAGGAACAACTTGATAGTGTCACACGCTTGCCCCTCGGTCCTAATCCTGATGGATTTGCTCGCTTTGCGTCTAGCTGCAAGGGTGTGGTAACAGAGATCCTCAACAAAAGCGACGTAAAGCGCAAGCATGCTTTCAATTCCTCCGCCTGGGTCACCGGATGGCTTCCGTTGTTTCGCAAACGTGTCCGTGCTGCTGTCGTTGAAGGCCAAACCACCAACCGTGCCACGCTGGAATTCCTTGATGCCACCTTCCTACAGGTAGAAAACCATCTGCGCAAGGAACCGGCAGGGCCCTCGACGTACGCCTTCTTCATCCAAAAATTGGCGGCTGCCTGGGACACTCAAGACAAGAGCTCGGGGATTGATCGTCTTCGCAGTTTTGGCGTATCCAACGGCGAGACTTACGGAGAATACATTCGTCACTATAAAGCTCTGGCCGTGACTGTCATGGTTTCCCACCACGCGTTCAAGCCTTCGGATGCGCAAATGCAGATAGCTGTTCGAGACTCCATGTTGAAGCAGTTTCCGGTAGTGTCTGGGCAGGTGTACAAGGATGAGCAGCTCTCCATGGAAGCCCCTTTTGGGCAACATGCTTCGTGTCTGGATGATATGTGGGATGTGTTGGACAAGCGTGCGTTCGCGCACACGCCGGCGGTGCATGGAGATGGTTTCTTTTCGGTATCTTCCACGAATGCTAGGAGTTCGTCTGCTGTTTCGTGTGCTGTAGCTTCTTCGGCGTTGCGTTCGACGGTGACCCCTTCGTGGAGCCAAGGTTCTTCGGCCACCGTGATGAGTGTTGACCCCCTACCTAATGATGATCAAGACCCGTTTCTGTTGCACTACAGCGACTAGCCGTTGCAAGGACACTTCCAAGAGGTGTACAACGTCGCTAGTGAGATGGCTCTAACCAAGAATGATCCGCCATTGTTCACCCCCTTGGTCTCGGCTGAAGAGCGCCGCAACGCGCTTCGACTGTACGAGGGCAGAGTGCCTCAACTGCTTAGGAGAAGACCACTCCTTCAAATCCTGTAATCGTGGTTTCGTGAACGCCACCGGCTTGCTTAACAATGACATCAAGCTCTGTATGGAAAAAGATCCCCCCCTTTGGGGTCGGTGGAAAAAGCGCATGACCTCGTGTAGACGCCCTGCAGGACGCCACCCACATCGAGATCACCCCTTAGGACGCGCCCGCCGCTCATCTGACACATCGGACACGAAACAGTCCCCACACACAGAGCACTCGTCGGAGGCTTCCACTTCGACAAAAAGGGGCTGGAGGGGTAAGAAATGACAAGCCGATGGCGGAGTTCAGCCGGTACTACCGTCAACAGCAACCACCGTGCACCCTTTTGGAGTCTCCCAAGATGTCCGTGTACAGCCTACTTCTTTGGAAACTCCCCACGCTCCTAAATCACTTCTAGTTTTTCGGCCCGCCTCCTCGTCGTCCGCCTCATCGCCTGCTGGGAATGGACATGGCAGACCCATGTCGGCAGTACCTTTTGGGGTGTGCNCTACCGTCAACAGCAACCACCGTGCACCCTTTTGGAGTCTCCCAAGATGTCCGTGTACAGCCTACTTCTTTGGAAACTCCCCACGCTCCTAAATCACTTCTAGTTTTTCGGCCCGCCTCCTCGTCGTCCGCCTCATCGCCTGCTGGGAATGGACATGGCAGACCCATGTCGGCAGTACCTTTTGGGGTGTGCGCGACGGGGAGGTAAGACGTCGAGCGGTCCATCCCTGCTCACCTCGTCGTCTCGGGTTACAGAAGGAACAAGAACCTCGTCTTCTACTATTCGTCATGACTCTCCTGGTGTTGTCAGCCGGGCCTCTTCTCGGATCGCACACGAGCCTTCTTCTACACTCGTCGGGAACCCCGTCGATCAACCTTCTCTTTCGCAGCTTTCGTTGTCTTCGAACGTCCGCTGCCCCCGTGTGACAACAGCTGATAAAGTCTTTTGGAACTGTCATACTACCTGGGAAGACGAGATAAGAAGCAGACTCTACTCTCGTCTATATGCTTGCGATAACCTATATAGGCATAGGACAGGGCGTTTAGTGCGAAAGTGGATGTTTGCGTATTTCCAAGAGCACTGCATTTCACTCTTGATGAGGCATGCCCGCCATGGACACCCCATTTGATTGATTGCTGAGAAAGCTCACATACGGGCAGAGCGCGTGGAAAAGCCCAAGAGACGACAAAGACCCGCCCCGTGGGTATCATCCCATGGTGCAGGCAATTGCGTGATCGCTCACCCATGCTTGGCCGCCCGTGAGCTCAGCCCAGTGGGAGCCATATGACAACACCATGGGCAAGAAAAAAATCCCGTTGTTGCCCGTTGGTTTGGGAATGCACCTCCACCCGTCCTCGACAACATCTGAAGCTCGAGCTCAGCCAAGGGTGGGCTCCGAGACAAAAAGAGAAAACAGAGTTCATAGGGCGTTTTCAACAAGGTGTCTAGCCGCTCAGCTCTGTACCAACAGTCAATCACGCCACTGATATGGGGGCCTTTGTGGGATACAGCAGATGTCTCCGACCAAACCAGTTCGGGGGCGGTTCTGCATGTGTGAATATTGACGGGTTGCGAATGAGCCATGTATAACCCTTTCCAGATAAGAGTCAAGCAAGGTAAGGTATGAACACATTCCCGAAACACTCTTTGTGCTGACATTATGGGGGGTTCACGTGGGACGTCCCCATGCCCCACAGGCGTCCCATGGGACGTCCCACGTGAACGCCCTACAAGTAGAATGTCGGTACCCCGAAACCTCCGGGACAAGAACGTTCATCTCGTCCGGCCCTGACAAATCGTAATCTTCTTTGGGGTGTAGCGCTTCACACTTGAACCTGCCTTCTGCAACAACACCGTACGTAGTGACACATCGTCAACCATTCAGTGGCACTCGTCGCCAACGAACGACACGAGGTTTGAGGCGAGCAAATCTCTCTCACCATTGAGCCCACGCAAACGCAACTCCTGCAACACATAGACTACACACACCAATAAAGAACGCATTTTCGCAAAATACGCGAGTTTCCCAACACTGTCTCCGAACGCGCGCGTACACACCCACAAGGTGTTGAAATGCCACAGTTTGGTCTAGAGATACACCCTCTGCCCCAATGGGATCTCTATATCACCATCACACTTGTAACACCATCATGTCTCTTCCTCGTGTCCCATCCGCCGAGCGGAACACGCCCTTCTGTCGGTTTTTGGTGCTCCAAACCGCTGGCTAGCATGCTGCTGCCCACCAAGACGACCACCCCAGGCGGGCGGTACAGACGTGACACAATCCGCCTCCCTCTTGCCAATAAGAGTGCTCACCTCAATATTCACCCTAAGGTCACATTCGCCCTAATGAGGAAAGCCTGCATCTTCCCGCTCCGCATACGGGAATCGCTGACACGCCGAGCTCTTGGAGATATGCTGACAGACGCTTTGTCTTCGAGCGTTCAATCGACCCTCTCCCTTGAAAACTCTATCCCTCTAAAAAATTGCATCCCACCAAAAATAACGCCTCATAATACGCGGCCCGGTTTTTCCACTTCCAAAAAAACGAAAGGGCGCCGAAAGCCAATATCCCGCCCCATTCCCAGCAACACATGCCCGACAAGAACACCCAGTCGTGACCGTTGAGGGGTCGCGGGGGGGGGGGGCTTACGTGTTTCGCCGGTAGAAACGGCGGTGCCCCCGTCGGACGTAGACAACCCCTCCTGAAAGGGTCGTTTACCCCGATCTATGATTCTCCTCGCAATGCGCACAAATAGTCCCAAAGGTTCTCAATAGCCCCTCCAGAAGGTCGTCCTCTGGCGGCACTGCCGTCGGGATCCAGGTTACTTGCTGCCGTATAACAGAATGCGAAGTGGTGTGGGATGTTCGTTTTATTTGTACGCCACTTCAACCCTGTTTTTTTTTGTCGCCGTACAACTTCCTCCGCCTACGGGTAAACGAGCTCGTGCCGTTGTCTTCGCCCCGGCCAAAAATGCCAAACCGTGTGTTACATCACATCACCACACCAGCCGCGCCGGGGTATGAAGGTCTTTCGCCGAGGCGGCATTGGGGCGTATCAGCTCTCCTCCCTGCCGACACCTCTGCCGAAATCATCGAAGGAAAATCAGTCGCTCTTAACTTGAAGTCAACGCAAAACAACCACACACACATGGATGGCGACCTGTTCTACGTGGAATTCAAATCGTTCACCCTAGATTGACAGAGCAAAGCAGAAAATCACACACCTGATGGCCGAGACCTTCCTTCAAGACAAAACAAACCACCAGATACCCCCTCCCGCCCCCGGGAACAATGCTCCGTCCTGTCGAGGACGCGTGGTCAATGGTGTAACCGCTAAGGCATGCAAAACATGAGAGTACGCCCCCCCCTCCCCTTTTACGTCCCGTACGAATACAATGCAACGAAGAAAAAATAGATATCTACCCCCGCCCAGGCAACCAAAGATGGGCCAAAGCAAGGCCCGAACCAGAGTTGCTAGGCACTGCTCGCAACGCGCGTTCGATCGGGGGTACGAAACAGAAAAGACGTCTGCGCGCCGGAACCAGCTAACACCCAGGCCGCGACATTCCACACGCGCACGCGCCCGTACACTGTCGGTGAACTAAAGCACAGGAGTGAAAGCCACCCCCAGCACTCCTGACACCAAAAAAAAAAAAAAAAGCAGCAGCAGCATGCGACAGGACAACATCAACATCTCTCGGCAAAAAAAAATAAAAGAAGTTTGAGCAAAAATGTGCCATCCCTTAGGGGCACACGCATGCGCAAAAAACACCTTAGGGACAGTCCTTACGAATGGGCCTCCCGGTTCTCCACTTAATATTATTCCCGTCACGTTCCGGCCGGAAAAAAAAAAAAATCCCTCTACACTAAATACAGCCCACAAATCGGAACCAGGGCTCCCTGCAAGAGGCAATGTGCCGACCGCATTATCCTCGCGTCGCTCTGTCTTTCGTCGGAACGGTCCTCGGAACCGCCCTATTTCCCCAGGAACGCTCCTCGGAACCGTCCCGTGTCCCCAGGATCGATCAATGGAACCGCGTCCCATGTCCCCAGAAACGAGCAATGGAACCGTCCCATGTCCCCGAAGACTGTTCCACGAAATCGTCCCATCATCACAATGCCGTCGTCGGAACCGTTCCAGGTCCCCAGGAACGGCCCCTCCGAACCGTACAATGTTCCCAAGACCCGTGGTGGATCCGTCCCACGTTCCAAGGAACGGTTCTCGGAACCGTCCCTGGGGCCGGGAAACAAGTTCGCAGCCGGACACCGACGCGCCCGATTCCCTCATTTCTTGCACGTCCCACGGGTTTTGTTTCCCATGACCCCAACATCGTCGCTACGGGCCCTGCAAGTTCGAGAGCAAGGGACGTTGTTGAGACACGAACATGAGCAAAACGTTAGATGAAACACGAGGTCCAAGAGTTAGTGGGGTTGATGGGTACATCAACGCTTGAGCGTAACATTAGATGAGCCACAATGTCCCGGGGGGGTGTACTCGGACACCTGTTGACGATCCCGCTCATCGCGAGCCTTGAAATACTATTTGTGGTTGACTCGTCACGAGCTGATTGTGTGCGTGCGGGAAGCTAAACCTTGAGATGAAACAAACAGCGGGGTACACGATCGATTTCAAGCCTGACAGTAGGGTCTACGGGGGAGGATTCGAAGTATTTTCTGCAAGGGCAAGTGCTGTGGGGCGTTGGGGCGGTGACAGGGTAAGCTCGCGACACCGTAGAAAACAAGAACAAAAAAACGCACCATCACATTTTACAGCGACGACCTCTAGATGACCTGTTGAGGCTCAAGGGTAGCCAACACATGAAACAACTCTACAGACACCACGTAGCGAGCGTCTCCCGCTTTTCTGGGTCATCGTTTCCTTGTTGGCCGCCGGTGACCACTGAACGCGTCCGTGTCACTCGGGCCGAAACGGTTGTATTTCAACGACAACAACAAAGCAAATACCAACAAAAAAAGCAGCAACAACAACAAAAAGACAGAACAAGGCCACAAGCGCTAGGACGACTCAAGCTCACACGGCATGCACACCGATGGCGCACCGACTGTCCCTGAGACTGAAGCTCGTCAATGACGAAGACAGGGAGACCGTCGCGAATGACAACCCACATATTCCTTGGCCATGTTCGTACAAGTTGTAAAGTCGAACTAAGAGCGCCAGACTCAAGTATTTACATTGGTCAGCCGAATTTGTAGCGCGGTCGATGCTATCCAACAAAACACACACTCGTACACTCGCACGCTTTGGTCAGCCGGATAGAGCGATCGATGGTAATCACACACACACTGACATCGGTTCAGCCGGCTAGCGCGGTCAATCGCTACTCAAAACACAACACTACTCATGTACACGCTGTTCAACAAAACGCACGAACACACACACAGCCCTGACGTCTGCTCAACAGTCAACCGGTTGGCGAGGTCGATGCTCAGTACCGAAAAATACACCACCACGACAGACAAAGACTCTTCGCAAACGAGGACTGCCGACGGAAACAAACGATGTATTACGATAGTGGGCCCTGTCTGGTGCCGGTATGTGTCCAGATATTTTTCCGGACCTGTTCAAAGTACAGCGCGACTTGGTATTTCAGTATGTGCGAGCCGAAAACACCGGCACTCTAACGGGCACCCGGCTCCAATTGACCGTCATCATACAGGCCCCCCCTGCGGTACTGCGAAAAGGGATCAAGACTCTCGCAAAGGAGGACTGCCGACGCAAACAAAGAAGGTTTGACTGCATACGTAAACAAAGAAAAAGGCCGCAAAATCTGACCCGAACGCTAACTTCTACAGTTAATCCACAACAGAGGTATGTTTGCTTCCTTGCGAATACCTGCGTAGACTACGGCTTGCACAAACCCGTGGCCTGCACATTACCTTCTTGATGACCTTCGAGCGGTGGTTGATGTTTCCCCCCTTCTTGATGAGCGAGTCCGACTGCTGGAGGTACCGCGACATGAGCCGGTACGTGGAAGGGTTGAGCCCGCTCGGCGCCTCCTGCTCCGGGGACCGGAACCTCTGCATCTTCTCTCGGATCTGGAAGAGGAACGGCCGAAGTAAAGCAAGAAGCAAACGGCGGCGGCAAGGTAGCAACACATTTTCTTATTAACCCACAGGAGGAGATTTATCTCTGCATCTTCTCTCGGAAATGAAATAGGAACGGCGTTAGCAGCATCGCACTTATTGTAGCCGAGGAAAAAAACATCTGTGCATCTTCTCTCGGATTCGGACGAGGGGCAGCGGCGGCGAAACAACAAGAACAAACATAATTTACCCCGGAAACAACCGACCGCCTCCGCCGGGGGCGGAAGTAAATAACCACGGAAACCACCAAAACGACGGCCGCGGCAATAACACAAGAACGTTTCGCCAAGCAAAGGACCGCCGCCACCGCCGCCGGCGGACGCAAACAACCACGGAAATACCCACAGGGAATGAACGGCAGTAACAAC